CCAACAACAGCCAGGAGCCGTTAATAACTGCAGGCCTGAGTGGGTGACAGAAGGGAGCAATTCCTTAGTGTGGCCACTGCAGAAGCCCGCCTGGCAGGACCTGTGGCCGTTGGTGGGGGGTTGCAATTAAGTCATAGCATCCTGGTGGGAGGGAGCTGGAGACTAAACCCTCCGGCCTCATTCTTTTCCTGCGGGCCGGTCTCCAATGGCTACACCCAATCATAGTCAAGGGATCCCATTGCTGCCCTCCATGAAGGCCAGCCTCCAGGGCACGAGATGGAGAGGTACCGGATCTGGACGGACAAATGGAGAATATCCAGACAGTGGCTTGGCTGCCCCAGCACCATGTCTGTGTTTGTGCTATCACCACACAACCAGTAATCTGCCCTCAACTATGTAAAGGTTCTAGTGCTCTCCAGAAAAATGCCTAAATGTTAACAATGGTTCCCAGGGTATGTGATTGCTTTTTCTCTGTCTGCTTATGCTTTCCCACTAGAAATTTTATAGATATCGGGGCAGGAGGGCAGAAAGAAAACTACATCCACTCCTTCCACTGCAGCAGAGTGGAGTAGCAAGGGCTGGTTTAAACTCTGCAGTGTCTTGGGGCAGTCACTCTGTGGTCTGGGGACAGTCATGGGCCCTTAAACCCCTGTCCTTCTGTGTCCCAGTGGGCTAACGGCCCTTAGGCTTCTCTTGGCCGCTGTATCTCACAGAACATGATCACCCTCAGTTTCCTCATCTGTAAAATGGGTTTGAAAATGTCCGTCCTTCCAGTGAATCAAAGTTGACGCGTAGACCAAATGAGATGCTGGAAGGAACGCCCACTGAAGATTGTGAAACAAAGTAATTATGTGGGATTATTGTTACTCAGCTCTAATGGGTTTCAGTGGAGAGAAAACCAGTTGCCAAGAAGTTGACCCCAACTCAGGGAGACGTCCACGAGTGTCAGAATAGAACTGTGCTCCACAGGGTTTTCAATGGCTGATTTTTTGGAAGTAGATTGCCAGGCCTTTTTTCTGAAGCCTCTGGATAGACTTGAACCTCCAGCCTTTCGGTTAGCAGCCAAGCACGTTAACCGCTTGCACCACCCAGGGACTCCAGTGGAGCGAAGCGTAGCTATAAAATTTCGGAGCCTCGGTGACACCTGGTGGCCATTCCTCATATTGCATGATATGTTTTTTTTCCACTATTAAAATAATTTTATTTTTCTAAGTTTAATTTGTAGCCCTGGTGGTGCAGTGGTTAGGAGCTCGGCTGCTAACCGAAAGGTCGGAAGTTCGAATCCACCAGCCACTCACTGGAAACCCTATGGGGCAATTCTACTCTGTCCTATAGGATCGCTATGATTTGTGGATTTTTTTTATTAATCTGGCGAGCTAATCCATCTTGAGAGGATAGCAGGGCCTGAGTGGACACTGGGCCATCTGAAAGGCAAAGAGGCAACCACGGACAGGAAATTCAACTGCAGGGGCGCTTGGGGCACCTGCCAGTCAGTCCTGCTGAGGCTGGGTTCGTGCGCGGGTCTCGGGACTCCCTCGGCTTCAGGGTGCCCTCTGCCGGCAGATAGGGGAACAGCAGGGCGGACCCCTCCCCCACCTTACACGGAGTGTCCTGCTTCCCGCTCTGTTGCGCAATGTGTCTCTCTTTGGGAATTCCCGGGGAATCCCTCACTCTCCCAGAATGCGACCCCCCCAGGTCCCACTCGGGGCTTACTTGAGGCCAGGCAGAGCCCTATAGAGTGCAGGTGAGGACCCCAGGGCCTGTCGTGGCCACGCTGGGCTTGGAGCCCAGAGCTCGTGTGTCCTCAGGGCGGGCTGCCTGTGGCCCTGACTCCGGCCCCTCCTGTCCCACAGCTGCCACCCCCAGGGAGCAGTCACCAGCCCTCTGGCCACCAAGCAAGTTTTAGCCACCTAGGTGCTGCCACTGTGCCTCCAGGGCCCTCCCTCTGCCCTCCGTTGGTTCTGGCCTGAGTCCCCCAGTACCCCCTCCCCCCAATAGCAAAACCTCTCAGAAGATGGACAGTTACTCCGGGCCTGCTCTGCCTGCTGCTTGGCTGACCGTTGTAAATTCTGACCCCACGCCTTGCTTCCCACTACCGCAGGACCTGACCATTAGCCTTGTCCAGAGTGATCACACCATACTGGACATTTTGCTTTTTAAATCAAAGTTTATATATCTCCATAATGGTTCCCTGGTGGCGCAGTGGTTAAAGAGCTCAGCTGCCAACCAGAAGGTTGGCAGTTTGAATCCACTAGCTGTTCCTTGGAAACCTATGGGGCAGTTCTACTGTGTCCTGCAGGGTCGCTAAAATCAGCTTGACAGCAACGGGTCTGGTTTCGGTTGGTTTATTTACTAATCTGTAGTGAACAATTTTAAGTACAGATGAGCAAGTAAGCACAAGTACTTACTTACTTACTTTGTACTTACTTTGCTTACCGGGTCATCTGCCCCCGTAGGGATTGTAAATTTGAAAAGAGGCTTTGATTCTGTAGGAAGGTGCTGTGGGGTTGGGAGAGAGCCAGATGCCAGCCATATCTAGAAGCAGAGGCTTTGATGTAAAAAAATGTGAAAGTGTTCACTCCAGATAATCTGGTAAGCAAGGTAAGCACTGTGTTTACCCTGCTTATTGGCTAATCCACCCCTGCACATGGGATTACTATGTCAAAAATTGACTCGACGGCACTTCACAACAACAAATATGTCCATATGTATAGCATAAAACAGTTGCTGTCAAGGCGTTTTTGACTCGTGACGGCCCCACGTGTGTCAGAGGAGAACTATGCTCCATAGGATTTTTTCAATGGCTGATTTTTTGGAAGGGGATTGCCAGGCCTTTCTTCCAAGGTGCCTCTGGGTGGACTCGAACCTCCATTCTTCCGGTTAACAGCCAAGTGCGTTAACCATGTGCACCTCCCAGGGAGATATATTCATTTTGCAAATGGCTTACATTCAGGAATGAAATTTGAGCCCTCTTTCATTTGTACATATTAGAAGAGTTAAATCAGCAGTTACAAGATTAGTGCAAAAACATACCCTACCCGTTACCTGTTGTCGTGGTGTCCTACTCGTAGTGATCCATACCCTACACTTTACAAAAGCCCGAGAATAATGAACTGTTTTGTACAAAAAAAGCTAAACTAAACCAAGCTAAATGTCCACCAATAACAAGGATGGTAGTTATCAGTGAGTTTTGCTTTGAGGATGTAAGAAAAGGCTGGAATGAGGTGGACAGCTTGCAGGCAGAGATTCTCAAGCTTTGCTGCACGTTAAAATCAACTGAAGGATTTCTTAAAGGAGTTGTCTTAGGGATTGAATTGTGTCCCCCCCTAAATATGTATTAATCTTGTTTGGAAATAGGGTTTTCTTTATTATGTTAATAAGGTCATACTCAAAAAGGGTGAGTCTTAAACCTAATCACTTCTGAGTTATAAAAAGAGCAGAAAAGACACAGAGACGTACACGGGCAAGCTGCCATATAAAGACAAACACGCATGGCAGATGCGTCTACCAGCCCAGGAGCTCTGAGAATTGCTGACTACTAGTCCAGAGCCCTGGTGGCACAGTGATTAAGAGCTCGGCTGCTAACCAAAATGTCGGCAGTTCAAATCCACCAGCCGCTCCTTGGAAACCTTATGGGGCACTATGAGTTGGAATCAACTCTACGGCAACAGGTTTGGTTTTGGTTGGTTAGACCTGGAATAGACAAAGAAGGACCTTGCCTTAGAGCCAGGCCCTGAATTCGTACTTCTTGCCTCCTGAACTGTGAGAAAATCAATGTCCGTTGTTTAATGCTACCCGCTTGTGGTATTTGTGTTGTGAAATCACCCGACAGGTGCCTGGACACCTCTTCACGCCAGTTAAACCAGCCTCTCTGGGAAGGAGCTGGCATCCACTTAACTGCTCCCAGGCGGTTCTAGTGTGTTGCCCAGATTGAAAATGACTGCTAGCCGTGTGTGACCGTTTTAATGTAAATGAATTAAGATTACATAAAATAAAAATGTAAATTAATTAAGAGTAATTGAAATAAAAAATTCAGTTTCTCAGTTTCACGGACCACATTTCCAGCGCTCAGTAGGCACGAGTGGTCAGTGGCTGCCATATTGGACAGGGCAAATGTAGGACATTTCCATCGTTGGAAAAAGTGCTATTGGGCACTGTCCTGAGGTGTTGTCAAGTCTTGTTACTTTTGGAAGGTGGCTTAGGCAGGTCGCTCTTGTATAACATGGAAGTGACTTTCTGAGTGAGCTTCTGTGCAGGCTGATGGTCACAGTGTGAGGAGTGGTTAGGCCGTGAAGGCCCCTGTTTTTTGTTTTTCACATTTTATTGAATTTATTGTTATTATTTTTTTAAATTGTACTTTGGATGAAGGTTTACAGAACAAACGAGCTTCTCATTAAACAGTACACATATTGTTTAAGGCCCTTGTTTTTCTGCTCAGTTGTCATCTACAGAGTGTAGAAGCTTCTGGAAGTGTGTTCAGGAATGTTATGGATTGAATTGCGTCCCCCAAAATATGTGTTGGAATCCTAAATCTGTGGATGTGATCCTGTTTGGAAGGAGGGTTTTGTTTGTTATGTTAATGAGGCTACATAAGGGTAGGGAGTGCCCTAAAACTAGTCACTGCTGAGATTTAAAAAGAGCAGATTAGGCACACTGAGGCACACGCAGGGGGAGACACGTGTGAGGATCTCCAAGAAGCCGAGGAACGTTTGGGACGACCAACAAGGAAGGAATCGACATGGCCGAGAACCTGATTTGAACTCTTAGCCTCCAGAACTGTGAGAAAATAAATTTCTGTTCTTTAAGGCCATACACGTGTGGCAATTCTGTCAGAGCAGCACTAAGAGACTAAAACAGAGAATGATGAGTGGAAGGCACCCAGAGACCTCGGAGCTTCTCGGCTGGCCTCCAGGACATCTACCTGGGATGGTGAACACCTCCCATCAGACAAGGTCCACGTTGGGGGTGTAGCTTCTGTGCTGAGAGGACAGAAAACCCAACACCTGCAAGAAAGCCTTTATTCCCCTCAGATGACCCACTGGCCTCCTGCAGTTAACTCTCCTCTGGGACACTGAGCTTCTCCTTCACGCCACAGGCCACCACGGTGAAGAAGAACTCGGGGAAAAAGGTGCGGATGTACACGGCAGCCTTGGGGATGGGGTTGGCCATAAAGACTTCTTGTTTCTTCCGCCTTACCGTGCACATCACCTCCTCGGCCACATCCACGGGGTGCACTCCGTAGGTCAGCTTCCTGAAAAAAACTGAAAGCCCCCAGGAGGGAGGCAGGGGTTGTTAGGGTCTCAGCGGGGAACAAGCTGGCCAGAACCTTCTGCGTGCCCAAAGAGAGGGGGTGTGTGCAATGCCCAGAGTCTTGGTGCGAGATGTCAGGCTAACTGCCATTCACTGCCCGTGACACTCTGGACAGACAAGTTAGCCCTCTGGGCTTCAGCTTCTTTATCTGCAAAATGGGCAGAGTTTCCTGCCCTATTAACTGCAGGGTGGTTATGAGCAGTAGATGTATGTGAAAGAGCCTGGGAAATAAGGGGCCAGAAGAATTAAGATGATGTTGTTTGTAATTGTTGAAAGTCGTGCTTGTCAAGAGCCTCTTGGAACCACTTGGTCTGTTCACCTTCTTGGTTCATCTTGGTTCCCCAGTCTAGACCCTGAGACTTGGTGAAGGCACAGTGTCTTACGTTCAGAGTGTTCTAGAGTAATAACAATAATATTGATGAGGTGCATTTATAGAGCACTTACTTTATGCTGGTTGCTGTTCCAAACCTTTACAGCAATAACCCTCAATTCTCCCAACAACTCTACCGGTACCTGTTGACTTGACTCTGACTTATGGCAACCCATGTGTGTCTGAGTGAAACTGTGCTTCGTAAGTTTTTCAATGGCTGACTTTTTGGAAGGAGCTCACCAGGTCTTTCTTCCGAGGTGCCTCTGGGTGGATTTGAACCACTGACCTTTTGGTTAGCAGTGAGCGCCTTAACTGTTTGTACTACTGAGGGACTCCCCCAACAATTTTATGAGACCACTGTTACCATTAAGCCTCATTTTCTAAAGGGGAAACCGAGGCACAGAAAGATCAAGGGACTTGCCCACATTCAAACATCTAACATGTGGCAGAGGCAAGCTTTGAGGGCAGACATCTGATTCCAGACTCTTAACCTCTATTCTGGCCTGCCTCCTAGGGAAAGAGTTGAACGGGAAGGTTCTTAAAGGCCAACTCCTGGTTATTAACATGGGGGACTGAGGCTCAGAAACAGGCAGTGACTTGACCAAGGTCACAGAGCTAGTGAGTGACTGAGCTCCACCAGGCCTTAGTCCATGGGCTTACAGATTAGGGTTCTCTACTTGGTGCCTCAGGTCTAAGGTTTGGGGCCCCCTCCCTGCTGTTAGCCAGCTGCCAATGTCCCACCACCTCCGGTCCTGTGCTCCCAGAACACCTCCTTGTGCTCAACGAAACCAGCCTGTCCCAGAAATCTCCCACCCCGCACTCCCCATGCCCCTGGAGCCCTTGTCCCCCAGCAGCCTTTCCCCCAGGTTCCCTCTGGAATCTCACATTTCCAAATGGAGGCGTCCCAGTTTCCTTGCCCTGGATACACGTGGTACGACCGGATGAAAGTTGGGCTGACGGTGCTGACAACGACGTCGTATTCCTCCACTTCGGCCCGGAGGCAGTCAAAGAAGCCGAGCACAGCGTGCTTGGTGGCGGCATCTAGGAGAGAAATTAGCAAGAAGTGGGTGCAGGAGAGGCACCTTGGAACAATGGGGCTGACATGCCACATTCCTAGAAGGTCAGAGCTGAAAGGGGCCTCTGGCGTTCCCTCACCCTGCCCCTCCCTTCACAGATGAGGAAACAGAGCCTTCTGTGACGTGTGATGGAAAAAGGCAGAGCTGGGACTGAATCCAGCTTAGCCACCTACCAGCTGTGTGACCTTGGGCCAATGACTTTGCTTCTCTGAGGATCAGTTTTCTTATCTTTAAAATGGAGATAATACCTCCCTTGCCCCGTTGTGAAGAACAAATGAGAAAATGTATATTAAATGGTTAGCACAAGCCTTCATTCCCTTTCCTTGCTGGGAAGGTGGACACCCGAGTGACTTGTCCAGGCTTCCAGGGCCAGGTGGTGGCTGTGGTGGGCCTGGAGCAAAGACTGACCACAAACAGGCACAAGATATCTTTCTGGGGTGATGGTAATATTCTAAAACTGGATTGTGGTGACTGTTGTACAATGCAATCTACTCACCCAATTCAATTCAAACCGTACAGGCCATGGGTCAGGTAAACAATAGTTCCAGAAATTGCAGAAACAGTGGACATTTCTTAAAGCTTAGGAAAGTTGGAGCCACCTCTGGAATATAGTGAACCCCAACTTCACATTTTGCCGGTCTTTATTGGACCTTACTATCACAAAGGAAGTCCCTCGTGGTACAAAAGGTTAACACACTCGACTGCTAACTGGAAGGTTGAAGGTTTGAGTCCACCTAACAGTGCCTCAGAAGAAAGGCCTGGATGATCTACTTCTGAAAAATCAGCCACTGAAAACCCTATGGAGCACAGTTCTGCTCTGGCACAGATGGAGTTGCCATGAGTTGGAGTTGACTTGAACAGCAATTGGTTATTTCCATGATGGGATTTCAGCAGGGCTGCAAATTAAAAACGTCTTTGGGGCACAATGGGGCCCTGGTGGTACAGTGGTTAAGCATTCGGCTGCTAACCAAAAGATTGGCAGTTCGAATCCACCAGCCACTCCTTGGAAACCCTATGGGGCTGTTCTACTCTGTCCTGTAGGGTCACTATAAGTCGGAATCAACTTGATGGTAATGGGTTTGATTTTTATCTGGCTACGGTGCACATTGTGAGAAGGAAAGGAGAGAAGCAGCCCAGTGGGACCGTGGTGACCAGAAAGCCTGGGCCCTGTCTAAAGGCAGCGTCACCACTTGGCTCCAGCTGATGGTTGCTTTGCAGGAAACTTGGGGCAGTCCCAGAGAGGCATCCCTTTAGCTGTGACATTTATGTGGGAAATTCTGCATCCCTGAATTCCTTTCTGCATGGCAGCAGATCTTCTGATTGTGCAAGCAAAGCTGGAAATCCTGATTTTTGTTAAAATGTCCTTCATTTAAATATTGATAACTAATTAAAAAGAAAAAAGGAGCTCTGGTGGCACAGTGGTTAAAGTGCTTGGCTGCTAACCGAAAGGTCAGTAGTTTGAACCCGCCAGCCACTACACAGGAGAAAGATGTAGCCATCTGCTTCCGTAAAGATTACCAAAACCCACTGCCGTTGAGTCGATTCCGACTTATAGCGACCCTATAGGACAGACTAGCACTGCCCCGTAGGGTTTCCTAGGCTGTAATCTTTATGGCAGCAGATTGCTACATCTTTCTCCTATAGAGCGGCTGGCTGATGGGTTCGAACTACTGACTTTTCAGTTAGCAGCCAAGGACTTAACCACTGTACCACCAAGGCTCCTTCTATAAAGATTGCAGCCTTGGAAACCCTATGGAGCAGTTCTACTCTTTCCTAGAGGGTCGCTATGAATTGGAATCACTTGATGGCAATGGATTTTTTTTTTTTAATTAAAAAGAAAATACTATCATGCTGGCCAAACCAAACCTACCTGGACACCAGCCTCAGGTTAGCTCCCGCCAGGTTTATACAATGACTACGTACATCATCTCACCTGATCCTCTCTGTGACTGTGTGACCCACTGTCCCGTTAACTTAATACACGGACTCAAGAGAGGCAGAGGAGATATTATCCTTCCTTCATGAATAATGACGAATGAGAAGCTCAGAGAGATTATGTGAATGGCGCCAGGTTGCACAGCCAGAGGTGGCAGAGTCTGGACTAGAATCCAGGCCTCCTGCTTCCCATGCTTCATCAGCACTCCTCATGTGGTTCATGGTGAATCCAATTTCACCTTCATGAAAAGGGTTAGCATAGCCACTAGTGAAATGCAAATCAACACCACCATTGAAATACCACTTCACACCCACTAGGATGGCTGTAACAAAAAAAGTGGACAAAAACAAGTGTTGGCGAGTATGTGGAGAAATAGGAACATTTCACACTGCTGGTGGGAATGTAAAATGGTGCAGTCGCTTTGGGAAACAGTCTGGCAGTTCCTCCAACTGTTAAACACAGAGTTATCATATGATCCAGCAATTTCACTCCTAGGTATATACCCGCGAGAAGTGAAAACATATGCCCACGCAAAAACATATACACATATGTTTACAGCGGCAATATTCATAATAGTGAAAAAATGGAAACAACCCAAATGCCCATCAAGTGATGGATGGATAAATAAAATGTGGCATATCCATACAATGGAATATTATTCAGCCGTAAGAAGGAATGAAGTACTGATGCATGCCACAACGTGCATCAACCCTGGAAAACGTGAAGTTGAGTGAAACAAAGTCAGACGCAAAAGACCACATATTGTCTGACTCTGTTTATGAGACGTGAACAGGCAAATCTATAGAGACAGAAAGTAGATTAGTGGTTGCCTAGGGCTGGGATGTGGGAAGATTGGGGAATGATAACTAAGAGTGTGGATTTCTTTTTGAGGTAATGAAAATATTCTAAAGCTAATTGTGGTAATGAATGCACAGCTCTGTAAATATACTAAAGGCCATTGAATTGAATGCTTTAAATGGGTAAATTGTATGGTATGTGAATTATATCTCAATAAAGCTGTTACCAAAAAAATTAAAAAAGAGTTATCAGCTGTTTTTCATTCATCCACCAATTCACCGATTCCTTCATTCGTTCAACACGCGTGTGTCGGGCACCTCCTCCGGGCAAGGAGCTGGGGACGAAGAGGTGGGTCAGAGGTAGCTCTGCTCTTGTGGAGCCCAGGTGAAGCAGATGTACTGGCAGGTAATTTCCATGTAGGGGGGCTAGGGCAGTGAGAAGGGCGTGTGCCTGTGATGGGAAGGAAAGGTAGCACAATGTTGTGTGCCCAATTCCAAGCTGTGTTTCTGGTTGTGGGTCCCCAAGGCCTCCAATCTCCCCACCTGGGTAGATGCTAAGGGGAAGGTGCTGCCCTCTCACAGGAGTCCCAGTGCCTGTCAGAAGCAAGACCCAAAGGAAGAAGAAAGAGAACTTAGGGCTGGCCCAGGGTGGCATCTCCTTAGTTCTGACATTTATATGGAGAACTTGGCACTACTTAATTCCTTAGTTGCAGAGAAGCCAGACCACAGCAGGTGGGGGCGGAGACGGCCTCCTTAGAATTCTTAGTCCTCATTGCTGTTGTGTTTCAGAAAACGCTCCAAGGAAACCACATGCCCCATATTGGTTGGTGAGCAAAGTGTCCGTTGGAATGTCCAACCTTAGTGTATCATATCCCCTCTGTCTGTGTCTCCAGCACCTGGCTTTAAGCATTCAATTGCTGTTTGTTGAATGAATGAAGGCATAGAGCAAGGAAAGTGAAAAGTTATCCAGTTCCTGAAAATAACATGTATGTGGAGTTTAAAAATAGAAGGACCATCAGGACTTCATTTCTCTTTAGGGCTGAGTAATCCTCCATTGTGTGAATACTGTATACCACATTTTGTATATCCATTCTTCTGTTGATGGACATTTAGGTTGTTTCCACCTTTTGGCTATTGTGAATAGTGCTGCAATGAACATTAATGCCAGTGAATTAGATGTGTAAAAAAATTTTGAAATGGCAAACATTTCGATGTGTATTTTTTCACCACAATTAAAAAGAAAGAAAGAAAGAAATAGTGGTGAAATTCATAAATGGGCTGTGGAAGAGAAGGAAAATGAGTTGGGTTCCATTCACCCACGTCAGGAGTGTGACCTTCACCTAAATTGATCGTGTTCAGCTGACACACGTGAGAATGTCAGCTTTGAGAGGGACCTTATCTTCTCTGTCTCATTGGCTACCATAGTGCCCTGCATTCTGTGGGTGCTCAGAAGAGGGACTGAAGAATGAAAGAAAAACCAGCAGATCTGCTCTGCTCTGGAACCCCTCCCTCCCTTGTAACCAGAGGCCTAGTCCTGGACATCACATCTCCGAAGAAGGTGTTTTTGTCTTAGCAACTTACAAGCCGTACGGAACGGGATTCCAAATCTCCCTTGGATGTTATTCACTAACACAATCTGGCCAGTCCTCCGGGAGATCATGTTGGGAAGCAGGGCTGGAAAACACCGGACAGTGAGTCCTGTTAAAATCTGAGACGGGCTTGGGCGGTAGCAGGCAATCCCTTTTCCCCCACTCCCCACCCCACACCCGACTTCAAAAATGGTTCCTCGACCTCCCTGGTAATTAGAGTGCAGCAGGACCGGGTTGGGAAGGACCCTGGCATCATTTAGTCCAGTGTTTCCAAACAGTGGGCCACGTTCAGGTGGTGAATTACTGGGTGACTTTAAATGACCCACCAGTGAGCCATTACTTAGCACCATTTTCAGTAGTGAGAAAGGAGTTCCCTTTTGAGTTCTCCTATTTACGTCAAGAAGAAAGTCTCATTTTGATTCTAACGTGTCTTTAACACCTCTCTCACACGTGCTGTCTTTTAACAAAGAGAGGAAAGATCTCAGCTCTGAGCGTTCCCAGGCTGTCTTGGGGGAGAATTTACCAACTTTGTTTAGAAGGTAGAAGGAATAATGGTGAGATTTGCTTTCAGGGTGCCTTGTATTTGTTGAGAGTGAAAGGTCTTGTTTTTTTTTTTTTTTTTTAAGATGGTATACATTTTCTTCTAAAATAAGTTTCATTTAAAATGAGGAAATTTAGAGAAGGATATTTAGCAAATAATAGTACAGGTGGGGATGTGGCAAAAATGAAAAGATAATACTCAGAAGACTCAGCTTTCAGAATGGTTGATTAAACCCAGTCCCTTCATATTGGAGATGTGCAAACTGATACCCACAGCTGGTGGCTAGACTTAGGTCCCTCAGAAAGTTAGAGGCCCAAACAGGAAGAGAAACCAGCCCTGGCCTTTTCCACTCCACTTTTTGCATCCCTCACTTTGATGCCCCCTCAGGGGTTAATGGAATGGCACACCTTTGCCAGCCTGCTTGGTCACAGGGACTGAGCTGGGGGAAACCTTATCTCTGGAACACCATTTTAGTGGCTTTTGGAAGTCATCTCTCTGCGCCCAATACTGTCCTAGGATTCAGAATCTTGTCATTAGAGGCTCCCAGTATGGGACTCTTCTCAGCTGTAGACGAGACAACTCTCAGATTGTGCCTTCTCCATCTCTGCCAGCATTCCAGTCCCTAAATGCAAGATCTTTTTTCATGTGTGCATCCTCCCTTTTGAGGTTCTTTTTTTCTTAAAAAAATTTTTATTTTGGTTAAATATGTATAACAAAACATTTGCTGCTGTAATCATTTTTAAGTGTGCAACTCTGTGACATCACATTCACCATGTTGTGTGACTATCACCACTATCCCTTTCTTAATGAAGTTCTGTTTTCATAGATTTTTATTTTTGGGGGGGAGGAAGGGCTTCCATTCTTGATTCTATTCCATAGATAAATCCTGTGCCAATCTTCCAGGTTTCACATCACCATTTGAACTTGACCATGAGAAATCTCTACCTGGATGCCTCATAGGAACCAACATTTTGCCCTTTCAGGGGGGACATCCTGCTGACTTCCCTGTTTCTGCAAAGAGGTTGACAGTATACTGGGTCTCTTGAAGTTAGGGGATAAAATCTTTTTCTTCAGTTCTGAGGACAGAATCTACCTTTGCTCATCATGTTAGAAGAGTAACTGTCTCCCATGGTTAGGAGCAGATCAGCTGCAAGGTTGATATGTCAAAATATATATGCAAAGGACAAAGACAATAGTCCAGCGATGTTGAATGGAATTGAAGGGGGAACCATGGATATGAGTAAGAAGAAAAGGGTAAAGGACAGGGCTTGGATGAGGAGGATGAGTTGCAAAAAGAGGGAGGTTGGAATATACCAGTAAGATACTTTCAAAATCCCCTGTCTTCCACAAAATTCAGTCAGAACATTGAAAGCTTTCACCAAATAAGTAGGAATTTTTTCAGGGGGAAGGGGGCCTATGGGTTTTATCTAGAAGTAGATGACCATCTGGCTATGTAACAGTGCCCTCCCTAGCAGCTGGTGGTCCAGAAACCCACAGGAAGGTCAAACTCACGAGACCTTTTGTCAGTGTAATGGGCCCAAAGTAATTGGCATCCATGATCTTTTTGTCGAGCTCCAGAGAAATCTTATGGGCAGGTGCCTTCACCTTCACGCTGGCATTGTTGATGAGGACGTCCACACAGCCATAGCAGTCCAGGACCTCTTTGGCCACATCGGGGATACTGCCGATGTCCGAGAAGTCCAAGAGGACCAGCTTTGGGGTAAAAGTCTGGTGAACCAATGAGAGAGTCAAGACATTTGTGGAAATACCTTCTTGGCTTAGACCTAGGGGTCCCTTCATTTAATAGCCACCCCTTCTGAAATTCAGAACTCATGGAACAACTCCAAAAAAGTGAAGAGGAAGAAGCAGAAATGACTCTGGGGTGGGGAGCGGGGAAGAGATTCTTGGATAATCCATTCTTGGGGACCACGACAACTACAATAAAAATCCCAAAGTGAATATGCAGTAATAAGTCTGAGCCTTTGACAAAGGTGCTTGAACTGATAAATCCAAATGGATATCAGCATTCACAGCAGTCCCCTTTGGAGGCTGTGTGCTTTTCCAGTGGTGACATCATGACTTATAACATTTCTGAGCTTCTTTTTGGAAATTTCCTTCCGAACTGGCTTATAAGCCACAAGAAAATCCATCACAGTGTCAAAGAGAGAAATTGATAGTAGATATCTTGCTTTGACTTTGGTGTTTTCTTACCCACAAAACCACATATTCACTTTAAAGAAATCCCTGACCAAAATTAATCTATCAGCAGCTTTTCTCTCACCTGAAGTTGCAAATCCTTTCCTTCCTGCTGGAAGCCAGGCTTACTAAATTTGAATTTCAAAAGACGTGGCTGGGTGGAGGGGCAGAGACCAGTTTGTGAATTTATATCCTTTGATCTCAGTAAGAGAGGGAGGTCAGGGTTCAATCAATTATGTTAAGATTAGCCAATGGTTGATGATCTTCTATATTTCTCCCTCCTTTCTCTTTGTAAGCCCACTTGTGCCTAGCTTTTTCCAGCCATTTACTTTTTCTGAAATCAAAATGGTCTCCCTACATGCGTGTAGAATAACTGCTCAGAATAAACCTTATGTTCAATTTTGGTGAGTTTAGATTATTTTTAACAATAGTAATTTGTAGCCACATTTTTGTTTTTGACCAAAAACATTTTTAGCAAAATATTTTTAGTGCATCCTACTACGCACCTGGCACTGTGTTCAGCCCTAGACACTCACTTTTATTAAGACTCTAATGGTCTAGAGGGGGAGATGCTCTGATAATTGCTTATACAAGTGATAAATACAATCCCAATGTTTGACAGATAGCCTAGAAAAGAGGGTTCCCTGGTCAAATTTGTTCGGGAAACACAGAGTGCTATACATTCTCCTTGGAAATACACGATGTACATTAACATATCAAAGGCTCTGAAAAGTCCTGCAGTAAAGAAACCAAAAAAACTTGGTTTAACTCAGTATTTCCCACACAACTGGCTGCAGAAATTTGTTTTTACCCACCCAATACCTACTAACATCCCAAGAAACACATTTTGGAGAATGCTGTGCTGTCTTATTTGATCTATCTCTTCAAATACCAGACTTAGCTCTGAATTACTTGTGGTTGTTTCCAAAAAAACAAATTCAACCTCGAGGGCAAAGTTGTTTTTTTTTTTTTTCTTAAATCCTGAAGAGACCTCTGAAGGCAATTCCTCAAACGATGCTCCAGAAATGCTTTGAAAACTGAAACGCCATTGAAATAAGCATTCACCTCCTGGGTGACTTTTTGGAAAGGAACATCATCTCCCTGACTTTGCAAGAGATGTCATCTGAGGTATTATTTTTCAAAAAAATCAGCCATAAGTGTTTCTAATAACCCATACTTATGACATTCCTTAAGAGTACCTGAGTGACATAAAAAGTTAAGCGCTCAGTTACTAACCAAAAGGTTGGTGGTTTGAAGTCACCCAGAGGCACCTTGGAAGAAAAGCCTGGCGATCTACTTCTGAAAAATCAGCCACTGAAAACCCTAGGGAGCATAGTTCTACTCTGACACATATGGGGTCTCCATGAGTTGGAATCTACTGGGCAGTACCTGGTTTACTTCCTTCTATCACTCATCTGTCAGTTTGTTGTACTGTGGTGGCTTGTGTATTGCTGTGATTCTGGAAGCTATGCCATTGGTATTGCAAATACCAGCAGGGTCACCCATGGTGGACAAGTTTCAGTGGAGCTTCCAGACTAAGAAAGACTAGGAGGAAGGACCCGGTGATCTACTTCTAAAAAAACTGGCCAATGAAAACCTTATGAACAGCAGCAGGACATTGTCTGATGTAGTGCTGGAAGATCAGCCCCTCAGGTTGGAAATATGACTGGGGAAGAGCTGCTCCTCAAAGTAGAGTTGACCTTAATGATGCGGATGGAGCCAAGCTTTCTGGATCTTCATTTGCTGAGGTGACGGGAATCAAAATGAGAAGAAACAGCTGCAAATATCTATTAATAATCTGAACTTGGAGTGTACGAAGTATGACTCTAAGAAAATTGGACATTGTCAAAAATGAAATGGAACACTTGAAGATAGACATTCTAGGCATTAGTGAGCTGAAATGGACTGGTATTGGCCATTTTAAATCAGACAATCATATGGTCTACTATGCCGGGAATGACAAGTTGAAGAGTAATGACATCGCATTCATTGTCAGAAAGAATATTTCAAGATCCATCCTGAAATACAATGCTGTCAGTGATTGGATAGTATCCATACACCTACAAGACCAGTAAATACAACTATTACTCAAATTTATGCACCTACCACTAATGGCAAAGATGAAGAAATTGAAAAATTTTACCAATTTCTGCAGTCCGAAATTGATCAAAGATGCACTGATAATTACTAGAGATTGGAATGTGAAAGTTGGAAACAAAGAAGAAGGATCAGTAGTTGGAAAATATGGCTTTGGTGATAGAAATGATGCCAGAGATCATAGGATAGAATTTTGTAAGAACAAAACTTATTCATCAAAAATACCTTTTTTCAACAAAATAAATGGTGACTATACACATGGACCTCACCAGATGGAATACACAGGAATCAAATTGATTACTTCTGTGGAAAGAGATGATGGAAAAGCTAAATATCATCAGTCAGAACAAGACCGGGGGCCAGCTGCAGAGCAAACCATCAGTTGCTTGTATGCAAGTTCAAGTGGTAGCTGAAGAAAATTAAAACAAGTCCACAACAGCCAAAGTACAACTTTGAACATATCCCACCTGAATTTAGAGATCATCTCAAGAATAAATGTGACACACTGAACACTAATGTCCGAAGACCAGATGAATTGTGGGATGACATGAAGGATATCATACATGAATGTCTTAGTTATCTGGTGCTGCTATAACAGAAATACCACAAATGGATGACTTTACAAAGAGAAATTTATTTTCTCACAGTCTATTGGGCTAGAAGTCCAAATTCAGGGTGTCAGTTCCAGGGGAAGTCTTTCTCTCTCCGTCAGCTCTGGAGGAATGTCCTTCTCATCAATCTTTCCCTGGACTAGGAGCTTCTCTGCACAGAAACCCTGGGTCCAAAGGATGCACTCTGCTCCCAGTGCTTCTTTCTTGGTGGTATAAGGTCCCCAACTCTCTGCTTGCTTTCCTTCCCTTTTATCTCTTGTAAGATAAAAGGTGGTCCAGGCCACACCCCAGGGAAACTCCCTTTACATTGGATCAGGGATGTGACCTGAGCAAGGGTGTGACATCCTACCCCAATCCTCTTTAACCACAGGCAGAGATTATGATTTATAACACATAAGGAAAATCACAAAATGGAGGACAACCACACAATACTGGGAATCATGGCCTAACCAAGTTGATACATATTTTTGGGGGGCACAATTCAATCCATGACAATGAAGAAAGGAAGGGTCATTGAAAAGACAGGAAAGAAAGAAAAGACCAAAATGGATGTTAGAAGGGACTCTAAAACTTGCTCTTAAATGTAGAGTTTTTAAAGCAAAAGGAAGAAATGATGAAATAAAAGAGCTGGACAGAAGATTTCAAAGGGTGACTCGAGAAGACAAAGTATTATAATCAAATGAGCAAAGATGCAGAGTTAGAAAGCCAAAACGCCAACACACTCCACATTTCTCAAGCTGAAGGAACTGAAGAAAAAATTCAAGCATGGCGTTGCAATATTGAAGGATTCTATGGGCAAAATATTGAACAACTCAGGTAACATCAAAAGAAGATGGAAGGAATACACAAAGTCACTTTGCCAAAAAGAATTGGTGGACGTTCAACCATTTCAGGAGGTAGCATATGATCAGGAACTGATGGTATTGAAGGAAGAAGTCCAAGCTGCACTGAAGGCACTGGTGAAAAACAAGACTCTAGGAATTGACAGAATACCAACTGAGACGTTGCAACAAACGATGCAATGCTGGAAGTGCTCATTTGTCTATGCCAAGAAATTTGGCTAACCGACTGTAAGATATCTATATTTGTGCCCATTCCAAAGAGAAGTGATCTAACCGAATGTGAAATTAATATGTCATTAATATCACACCCAAATAAAATTTTGCTGAAGATAATTCAGAAACGGTTGCAGCAGTACATCAACAGAGAACTGCCAGAAATTCAAGCTGGATTCAGAAGAGGACATGGAACGAGGGATATCATTGCTGATGCCAGATGGATCTTGGCTGAAGGCAGAAAATACCAGAAATATGTTTACAGTGTTTTATTGATTATGCAAAGACATTAGACTGTGTGGATCATAACAAATTATGGATAACATAGTGAAGAATAGGAATTCCAGAAAGCTGAATTGTACTCATGCGAAAACTGTACATAGACCAAGAGGCAGTTGTTCGAACAGAACACGGGGATACTGTATGGTTTAAAGTCAGGAAAGGTTGTATCCTTTCACCATACTTATTCATTCTGTATGCTGAGCAAATAATCTGCGAAGCTGGACTATATGAAGAATGGGGCATTAGGATTGGAGGAAGAATCATTAACAACCTGCGATATACAGATGACACAACCTTGCTGGCTGAAAGTTAAGAAGACTTGAAGCACTTACTGATGAAGATCAAAGACTACAGCCCTCAGTATGGATTACACCTCAACATAAAGAAAACAAAAATCCTCACAACTGGCCCGATAAGCAACGTCATGATAAGTGAAGAAAAGACTGAAGTTGTCAAGGACTTCAGTGTACTTGGATCCACCATCAACGCCCAAATCTGCTGAAAGAGATTTCTTTGGTAAAAACCAAAGATGTCACTCACTTTGAGGACTAAGTTGTGCCTGACCCAAGTCATGGTATTTTCAATTGCCTCATATGCATGTGAAAGCTGGACAATGAACAAGGAAGACTGAAGAAGAATTGATGCCTTTCCATTATGGTGTTGGTGAAGAACATTGAATATACTGCCAGAAGAATGAGCAAATTTGTCTTGGAAGAAGTACAGCCAGAATGCTCTACAGAAGTAAGGAAGGAAAAACTTTGTCTCACATACTTAGGACATGTTATGAGGAGAGACCAGTTCCTGGAGAAGGATATCATGCTTGATAAAGTAGAGAGTTGGTGAAAAAGAAGGAGACCCTCAATGAGATGAATTGGCTGCAACAATGGGCTCAAACATAGCAACGATTGTGAGGATGGCACAGGACTGGGTGGTGTTTCATTCTGCTGTACAGAGTGTCACTATGAGTTGAAATTGCCTCCACGACACCTAACAACAACAACAACATGATATTCATTGTTTTCTGGATCCTCTTTGAGTCTGACTTAAATAGATTTGTGGGGGTATCATGGATAGAAAACAAATTTTTGGCATGGTGAGTGAGTGGTCAGAATGAATCGACCTTTTGCAATTGGCAGACATACCTGTGTCAAGAACAGTGGGATCATTGCCTCCCATTTCCCCAAGCTCCCATCCAATTTCAGCCCACTAAAGGAATCCATTTGGCCATCAAGCCGCCCCTTAACAATCAATGAAAGCTAAGGGTGCCCAAACCACTGCTAGAAGGCCTTACCTTGCTGGGGTCAGCCACGCTGATCAAGGCATCATAAAGGCTCTCCAGCCTCTCCCAGTTCTTTGCACACAGCACCAGCCTTGCCCCTCCAGTGTGGAACACCCGTGCACACTCTGTGGAGAAGAAGGAAAGAGGGTGGGGCAGTGTGTGGATGGAGCCATTGATGGTGGGCCCCCTCTCTTACAAATTCAAGAATCTCAGTAGTCATTTCATTCAACCCCCTCCCAGGGCTGGACTATTTTCTAGTTTCCAGCCTCAGCTTGGTTGCTTCCTGTGATGGCGAGTTCACCACTGGGTGAAACAGCCACTTCCATGGTTTTAAGTTTCTGATTAGGAGAACATTCTCTTTATAACAGATGGAAAGATGACTGTGTCCACCTAGTCCTCCAGGACCACAATTCTAAGTTTATCTAAATTGAAAGACTTTGGAAACACCACTATGTCTTTTCAGCCAAATGTCACCAGTTGCTTCCATATTTCCCATGTGTCTAATTTTACTTAGAACTAATTCCTGACTCACCCATCGCAAGACTTTCTAAACTGGGCAATGGCTGGTAGACACACAGCATTCTTTTTTTTTTCTATTTATTTATTTTTTATATAATCTTTTTTTTTTTATTGTACTTCAGATGAAGGTTTACAGAACAAATAGTTTCTCATTAAACAGTAGTACACAACTTATTGCATGACATTGGTTAACAACCCCACAATATGTCAACCTTCTCCCTTCTTGACATTTTTTTTTTTTTGGTGAAAATATACATAGCCAAAATACATCATTTCAAAAATTTCTACATGCACAGTTCAGTGACATCGACTACGCTCTTCCAATTGTGCTGCTATTCTCACTTTGGATGAAGGTTTACAGAACAAAATAGTTTCTCATTAAACAGTTAATACACATGTTGCCCTATGACAATGGTTAACAACCTCACCACACATCAACACTGTCCTTACTCAACCTTGGGTTCCCTATCACCAGCTTTCTTGTCCCCTTCTGCCTTCCAGACCTTGTCTTGGACTGCTGTGCCTCATTAGTCCTGTTTTGTTTTATGGGGCTGTCCAATCCCCAGCTGAACGGTGAACTTTGGAAGTGACTTCACCACTGAGCTAAACAGGCTTCTGGGGGCCATACTCTCGGGGTTTCTCTAGTCTCTTTCAGGCGAGTAAATCTGGTCTTTTTTGTGTGTGTTAGAATTTTGTTCTACATCCTTCTCCAGCTCTGTCCATAACCCTCTGTTGTGATCCTGGTCAGACCAGTCAGTGGTGGTAGCCGGGCACCATCTAGCTGTACTGGACTCAGGCTGGTGGAGGCTTTGGTAGCTGTGGTCCATTAGTCCTTCAGACTAATCTTTTCCTTGTATCCTGTTCTCTTCATTCTCCCTTGCTCCCGAAGGGGTGAGACCAGTGGAGTATCTTAGATGGCTGCTCACAGGCTTTTAAGACCGCAGATGCTACTCACCAAGGTAGAATGTGGAACATTGTCTTTATAAACTGTGTTATGCCAATTGAGTTAGATGCTCCCCGAGACCATGGTCCTCACAGCCCTCCACCCAGCAATCCAGTCCCTTAGGGAGTTTGGATGTGTCTCTGGAGCTTCCATGACCTTTCCTTGTACAAGTTGTGCTGGTTTCCCCAGTACTGTGTACTGTCTCACCCTTCACCAAAGGTAGCACTTATCTAGTGCCTATTTAGTGTCCCCACCCCCCCACCCTTGGTAACCAACAAAGATTGTTACTTTTTGTGTGTACACTTTTTCACAGGTTTTTACAATAGAGGTCTCATACAATGTTTGTCCTTTTGTGACTGACTTATTTCACTCAGCATAATGTCGTCCAGTTTCATCCATGTTATGAGATGCTTCACAGATTCATCGTTGTTCTTTATTGTTGCATAGTACTCCATTGTGACACACAACATTCTTGTATAGTAATAATTATTATTAGTTGCCACTGAGTTGGCACCAACTCATGGTGACCCTATGTGCAACAGAACAAAACATTGTTTGGTCCTGTGCCATCTTCATGATCATTAACATGATCAAGTCCATATGTGGCCACTGTGTATTTTGAGGACCTTTCAACCTAGGAGCTCATCTTCTGGCATTATATCAGATGATATTCTATTGTGATCAACACACAAGCCACCATAGTAAGACAACCTGACAGATGGGTGTTAATAATATTAATAATACTGATACTTAAAAACAGTGAAAGTTAACACTTTTTGAGGTTTACTTGTTCCAGGAACCGTTGAAAGATCTTTACTTATATTAGCACATTGAATTCTTACAATAACCACATGAGAGAGTAACTTAGGTCAGGTTCTCTAGAAGCAGAACCTGAGAAAAGGACTAAGGAGAGTAGGATTGATTGAGACAATGCTCTTCTGACAGTGGATGAGGGAAGCAAGACAGGGCAGTGGAAGGTGCTAGTCAAGGATGTGGTCTCAGGTAAAGTCTAGCCTTGGTGTGACCCAGAAAGGGCTGTGATGGTTAATTTTATGTATCATCTTGGCTAGGCTATGGTTCCCAGTGATTTGGCCCAAACACTAGTCTGGTTGCTGTTACATACTGTAATCTAATGTAATCAATCAATTAGTTGAAAAGGAAATTCCTTAGAGTGTGTTCCGCCTCCAGACTATAAATAGATATTTTCTCAGAACTCTTTGTCTGTCTTTACTCTGCCCTGTTCCTGCCACCTGACCTGTAGATCTTGGGGCTCAAGCCTGCAGGAGTCTCCAGCCTGTCTCCTAACCTACAGATTTTGGACTTGACAGCCCCCTACAATTGTGTCAGCCAGTTCCTTGAAGTAAATCTCTCTCTCTCTCTCTCTCTCTCTCTAATACTGGTTCTGTTTCTCTAGAGATCCCTAAGACAAGGGCTCAGGAGCATAAGCCGAACTGTAGAGCTGTCCCACCTTGAGGCAAGTTGTTGTTATGTGTTGCCAAGTCAACTCTGACTCATAGTGACCCTACAGAGCAGGTCACCATGTCTTTTCTCTTGCAGAGTGGCTGGTGGGTTCCAACCACCCACATTTCAGTTAGCAGCTGAGTGCTTAACCATTGCACCACCAGGGCTCCTTTCTTCAGGCAAGAAGACCAGCCTTTTGTGCACCTGTCTCAATCAGTCATTGCTTAGGGCTGGCCGTCTCAGGGAGGGTACAGAGGGTGTGTAAATCCTGGGCCAGGCGACATGCACTGACCTACAGATCTTGGACTTGACAGCCAAATTTCTGGGAAAGAAGCATCGGTGAGCCGTTAGCAGCCAACACTCACAGCACCTGGGTGAACTGGCTAGGTACAGGGATCTGGGCAGGCACTTATAGCACCTACTACAGTGGGTACCTATTGTTGTCCCTATTTTCAGCAAGAAGCAGTGGACCCAGACTGACTGGGGATGCCAAAGGCTAGCTGGGCAATGCAGAGTGCTCCCTGGAAGCTGGATACCATGGGTGCAATGGCACGACTGATCTCATGCTGGGTGATTTTATTCTGCAGGGCTCAGTAGCCTGGTGCGGGTGGAGGGAAGGGGGCCAGGTAGACCGAACAGTTGGTTAGGATTTGATAAGCGGGCACTGTGGGCAGGGGAATTGCAGTATTGGAGAGAGAGTGATTGAGATGCTGGACCATTAGTTTAAGCCAGATGGGGGCAGGAGGAGCGAAGACAGAGAGGAATGAAAGTAGAGGGCTCTAGGGGTGGGAGATCTCCAAGAAGTCTGAAAACAGCATGGTGGGTACAACGGAGAGAATTGGAGGAAGGACTCTGTGGTCAGCTTTGCTGACTGAGGGAAACCTGAATCAAGAAACCACTGGGTTAGCAACATCACCTTGAGTTGGTAGGACCATCGTGAACGGAAGATATCTCTAAATGTAGATGCTTACTGAGAAAGGGACTGTCCATGATGATTCTGGATGTCAAAATCCAGTAAAGATGTCAATTCGTCTCCAAGTTGATTTGCTATAGTAAATCAAGATCCCAACAGGTCTTGGGAAGCAGTAGAAGGATTCTAAGCTTTATTTGGAGTAACTTACAAACTTTATTTGAAAATGATACATATGCAAGAAAAGCAAAGAACATTTAAAGCAGAGTGTTAGTGGTTCAAGTATAGATAGAAATATTGATAAAAATAGAGCCAAGTTTTGATAAGAATTTGGAATATGAGAAGTTAGCATGTTGAATCAATGGGAAAAGAACATATTATTTAAAAAGTGGTATTTGGGTAGTGGGATAAATATTTGCTGTTATTGTTAGGTGCCGTCGAGTTGGTTCTGACTCACAGTGACCCTAAGTACAACAAAACGAAACACTGCTGGGTCCTGCGCCATCTTCACAATCGTTGTTATGCTTGAGCCCGTTGTAAATATTTGGAAGGGACAGAAAGCTAGATACATTACAACAAGATGTCTTAAATAGTCAAGTGTAAAAACAGAACCATAGAAAAACTTGAAGAAAGTAGAGATGACTCTATAGCCTTGTGTTGGGGAGAGATCGTCTACCAAAGAAGAAACCATAACAGAAATGATTTATAGTTTTACCCTTAAAAAACTTCCTTAAAGCAAAAACCATAAATATAACTAAAAGCAAAACAAATTGAGAAACAAATTCATAATCTACGTGTCAGGAAAAAAAAAACAAACCAAACACCAGTTGGTGACCCCATGTTTGTCAGAGTAGAATGGTACTCGATAGGGTTTTCAATGACTGATTTTTCTGAAGTAGATCTCCAGGCCTTTCTTCTGAGGGACATATGGGTATATTTGAACTGCCTACCTCTCGGTTAGTAGCAAAGTGCATTGATTGTTTGCACAACCCAGGGACTCCATGTGTCAGAAAAGGGCTAATTTATTTGACGTACAAAGAACTCTTACTAATAAATAAGGAAAGAATAAAGACCCAATAAAGAAATTGGCTATGGACATGAGTAAACAATTCATAAGAGAAGTACAAAGATCTAATATAGAGAAGATAAGAGTTCAAAGCTAATAATAAATAAATGCAAATCAGAACACAGCACTAGTTTTAAGCAATCAAAAAATTAAAGGCAAAAATGGTAATACTCAGTCTTGGCAAGATTATGAGAAAAGGGGCTGGTTTTACACTCTGCTGGTGGCA